TATTTTGCTTTGATCCGGTCAATATTTTGTCAAATGAAGGATAAAAGACCAAAATATGTTATATATAGATTTCATGAAAATCGAGTATAATTTATTCAAGTTATGGGGAAATCCTGGAAAACACTTAAACTTGAATATTTCGCAAACCAGCCCTATTTTCTCTAAAATATTTCTGAACCTTGTTATTAGTGGTATATATAAAATACATTGGACTTCCAGGGTCTTTGATAATCTGATATTTGCATTCTGCTAAATACTATACCTTTGGGTCATTAAACCTGTCAACAATCTTTTGTCTTTTTTTGATTGACATGGTACCATCAAGACGGACATACTGATACCTAATAAGCACAATAATGCACAAAATACATTTTTAACATTACATTATTATTTTAATTTCCTAATTATATCTATCTCATTCCAGCTTTTCATCATGACTAAAAAACTATGGTATGATCAGATGTCGAGATGCTGCTAATGAATTATAACAAACATTGCCTTAAATCGTTTTTAAAAATAAACTTGTCCTTTATGAACRGGTAGATCAATCATGTGCAATATTGTGTGCTATTTCGGGAGATCTATTAGACATACCTTCTCTGTCTGCAGAGTTTTTCAAAGATGTCTAAAGTCTGAGTGTAGTTTGACACCAGTACAACTTTGTCTGTTGTTGAAGATTTGGTCATGGCAAGAATAAAATCAAGAACTTGCATTTTACCTGAGAAAGTATACATTTTCAATAAAAGAAACAAAGTAATAAAATCAATTTTAATTGCTTAAATTAAATTAGCTAATCAATGAAACAATTATGTATCAAGAATAAAACAATTAATGAAACAATGCATGTACCAAACAATGCCTAACAAAGCAACCACTAGCTAAACAACCAATCGATCAATGACCTGCTAGCAATTAAACCACCTGCTAACCAACGAGCCAACTAGCCAAGCAACAAACCTAACAACCAACTGCTTACCAACCAACCACCTTCTAGCCAGTCACTTGTTGACCCACCAACCAACTAGCCAACCCACCCACCAACCGCTAACCTACTCACCCACCAGCCAATTCACAAACGAACCTATCTATCTACTAGCCAACTCACCAACCAATTCACAAATTCTTGACCCACAAGTCCACCAACCAACCTACCAACCAATCTACCCACCTACCAACCAACCACTCAACACACCTACTAATCAAATGAGATATAGCTGTCATGAATACCTGACAGATCTGCACAAAGATTCTTAAGGTTAAAATTGTCAGGGAAGAGATCTACAACTCCTTCAAAGCCATCTTCTTGCAACTGGGCTTTCTCATATATCAGCTCAGGATCTGAAAAATTGCACTTATTAATAATTCAAAAAATGGAACTTCAAATATCTTATAAATGACGCTTGCTATAAAATAGAATCATGAGCACACCAAACACAAGACCCACAACATAACTCTCACAATTACATATTCAATAGATGTTCAAATGCATGAGGATTCTGTYGTGTTTGATGCTCATAAACCCACACCATCGAACAAGGTACACAGGCAGTGCTTTGATTATCCAACAGTCCTCAGCATCACACTGTTCAGAAATCTCACATTTCTCATTTGTCTGGCATGTATACTTACGGTTGCACAGTTTTTTCAGGTTTGTAATAAAACCAAGYGATGAAGCACTGACTCCTCTAGGCTGGTTTTGCAGGAGTCGGCGGGCAACATTGGACTTGACGAGATGCTTATAAATCTGAGTTTGCACTGAGGTGAGTTTACAGCACACCACTTGTTCAACTGGAAATATTAAACTATATCATCTACATGTAGTTACATTGATTTTAGTCAGACATCATTAAAAAAATAATTCTTCTATAGTGTTATTGCTAAAAATCACTTCGTCAATACCTTTGATGGGAAGATATTTGGACAAAATTGATGCTGAAACCATAATATAACATAGAAGTAACTATTAAATTCAAATTCATACATTTCAGAAATATAAAAGGACAACAAATTAAAGTAAGCAAAACTTTGTCATTTAAACTTTTAAAAGTCTTAGTTTTAATTTGTTTATTATAAATAAATACTGCCTTTTGCAAAAATTATGAGAATTGTTGAAATATCTAAATATCATAATATCCAGTGCATGATGGGTAATCCCGCGCGATGCCCTTAGTCCCTTGTCTTTGTAGTTTAGTTTTTTTTTTGGCGACAGACTTATCCGTAGTTCTGAACATTTTCTCGATGTCAAAAATGAATTATTCTAGCAAACCCGCGTGTTCCTGACAATATATGGATATGGATATTATGATATTTAGATATTTAGACAATTCTCATAATTTTTGCAAAAGGCTGTAAATAAATAAATAAATAAATAAATAAACACAATTAAATGATCATTTATTATTAATCTATAATTATTGTCACTGTAAGGCTAGAAGTAATGATAGATATCTATAAGTAGAACAAACTGGCTGTTCAATCTATCTGTAATCTTTATCAAGTGCCAATTAAAGATCGGCCRCATGGRCATTGGCAAATCTCTTTGTGTGTGTGTGTTTGTTTGTTTTTGTTTATTTTTTGAACACTTCTCTTCTGCTTAGCCCTCCCTAACGGGATAAAATGCGCTATGCATATTCTATTTGTTCATTTCTAGTAATCAAAAATTCTGTTCAAGATATCCATGAAACTGACCTGTTCTTCTTATGATGCATTTGTTGACAAGTAAGGTAAGCTGTTGATGTTCAAAATAGAGAGTATACATTAATTTAAATAAAYAGTTGAATAATTACAATCATATCAAGCTTGTTCAKGGTGAATGCATGTCCATGAACTGCATTTACCTCAGCAAGTTTCTCAGCTCCTTTTTGATGGTCTGCATCAGAAGCGTCTGCATCTCGTCCTCTCAGTATTGGTGTCTCAAATTTTCTTTTAAATTCTTGTACAGATCCTAAATGCAGCATTTAGTTTACACTCATTATCTATTGCACTATCTATAAATTACACTTGTCTTAGGAAAGTATGGTCACCAAAGAAAAGAAAGAATGCAAGTAACCAGAACTAAAGGATTCAATCTGTAGTACACATTCTAACTCAGGGAAATACTATATTATTAAGTGCAAAGTTTTTCCAACTCAGCCAAAAGCTCAACTGTGGTTGTATGCACTAGAAGTGTTGTTGATTATTTTTATTGTAATTTATTTGCTACTTTTTTAATATTTTTGTGTTACTTGTAATTGATTACAAAAAGGATTACGAGAAGATTTATCATTTTGTATATTTCGGCCTTAATCCAAAGGCCATTGACGGCATACTGAACTACATGAATAATTACAAGACAAAATTAACATCAAACACCAAAACAATGTAGCGTACAAGCTTGAGTGCCCACAAGAACGATGCCCACATACCTACATTGGTGAAACGGCCAGAAGATTAGATGAAAGAATCTCGGAGCATGGAGGAAAGGACAGAAAGTCCACAATACTTAAACACAGCTTTGAATCTGACCATGAAACTGTTAAGCTAAAAATGCTGCTATTTTTGGCATGAAACTGTTAAGCTAGAAAATGCTGCTATTTTGACTTCAAAATTTAAATCATACAAACAAAGGAGAATCGCTGAAGCGCTATATATAAAAGAACTAAAACCTTCCTTGAATGAACAGGGACAGTCAATTCCCTTAAGTCTTTTGAACTAATTGTAATTATTCATGTAGTTCAGTATGCCGTCGATGGCCTTTGGATTAAGGCCGAAATATACATATTTAGTAAAAATGATAAATCTTCTCGTAATCCTTTTTGTATTCAAACTCTATGCCCACAAGAATATATTTACTTGTAATTGGTTTTATTGAAAGATACAGCAGTGTTTGCACTCACAACAGACTGAGGGAGTTATGTCATTACCTAAAATTCCTTCATTGACGAAATGAACCAGGCTAAAATATTCCAATAAATCATTTTGCACAGGTGTCCCTGTAAACAGAAATAATGACACCATAGCCWTCGGTTACAAAAAGTACAATTGCTCATGACAGTCACTGTCAGTGATTATAATACATAATACACTAAATGCAAATAAAAATTGAAAAGTTATACTTAAACTCAATAATCTTTTTGTCAYATTAAATTAATCATCTATCAATTATCAATTYGTTCTTTTGTTAGTGGTGGCCGGGAAGCATGGGCAAATGATGCTATGTAGGCAAACATTGCTTCACAATGCAATGAGGAACGATATATTAAATACTGGAGAATAAATATCATGTGATTTTCATGTTACTTACATGTATTCTCCATTTACCCTTACTTTAATTTAGATCATAATAATATAACATATTATTAAATTTCATGATATGTACTGACTGTACACTCTCCATCTTCAAAAGCTGATTGCCTTAATTTGTGGAAATTTTTAAAACTGCCTTGCAGACATGAATATCATTCTGGGTATGCTGGCCAAAGTTCTAAATATATCAAGCTTAAATTAAAAAATACTTGCAACTGTTACAAGGATTTTTTAATTTAAGCTGGTAAACAGTTAACTAAAAGCAGGATAAATACCTGACAAAAGCACTCTTCTATTGGTATTAAGTTTGTTGAGTGCCATATACGTCTGACTTTCCAAATTCTTTAATCTATGTCCCTACAGRTGACAAATCTTTGTAAAATATATAAATTTGAAGGGTTCAATGAAAAAATAACTGTCAGTGAAGGAATAGAAGGAGACTGAGATGAATGAATAAAAAGATGAATGAAAGGTTGAAAAAGAGAATGAATCCATTCAATAGATATCATTGATGGATAGAGTGTTCGATAATGAAAAGAAACCAACTGTCAATGGATAAAAAAGAATTAATCATGGGTACTGAATGAAAAAAAGGAGGGAAGTAAATGAGAATATACATGTACTAATGAATAAAAACACATTGAATGTACAAAATAAGATTCTCTCAAAAAATACACTTGATTGAAAATAAATTAATCTGTCTGGTAAACGTTTTATCAGGCATTCATTTCAGTGTCTTGCATAAAAGCAAGCTTGAAATCTGAGACACTGAGATCTSARAAAKTTAGGCTAAAAAGGTTTCATAATTCATGTCYTGAGCAATTCAAACTCCAAATTTCATGGGTTTCTCTTTTCTGAAAGGACCTTTCCATAACCTTACAACTACTGAAACTACCASCAAAAGGATTGCACTATGTTTATTCAAACTGGTACCTCATCACAGATAACAAGTCCAACACTGCCTTTATGTAAAACAGTAGCATGCAGTCTGAATGTCTCATAGGAGATGATCAGGACYGGAGTAGGCGTTCGATGCCCTTGYTGTGACATGTATCGCTCTGTGGAATAGAAACAGACATTCATGAGATGGAGAAACTGTGCAATGCATTGTAAATTAGAACTCATATATGCCCTATTCATTAGAATTTCAATGTGTT